ATTCTTTGGGGCACACGTGAGGAACACAAATGCGAACAAGCCTGAATGGTCCCCAGGACTATATGCGAATGAAAACTCACACCCCAGAAGTGACTCGAACCCATACTCCCAGGAGCAACGCAACTGGTAACTACAGGGCGCCTTAATCCACTTGACCATCACGGCCGTCAAAAGGAAGTGATAGCCGAGGCTATTTGAGCCACTTCCCCGACAGCAACTCGGATGGTAATCTTGGGCATAGCATTTCACCAAATCACCTCATTCTTTGGGGCACACGTGAGGAACACAAATGCGAACAAGCCTGAATGGTCCCCAGGACTATATGCGAATGAAAACTCACACCCCAGAAGTGACTCGAACCCATACTCCCAGGAGCAACGCAACTGGTAACTGTAGGGCACCTTAATCCACTTGACCATCACGGCCGTCAAAGGAAGTGATAGCCGAGGCTATCACTCGCATTGTGTTCCTGGGGACCATTATATATATATATATATATATATATATATATATATATATATATATATATATATATATATATATATATATATATATATATATTGCGAACCACAACAAACGAGGCTAATAACAATGCTTGTTGTATAATGCCAGTCTTCTATTGTTACTGTAGCGCGCCTTGAAAGGAATGTTGTTGTCTTGCCTACATATTGAGTTCGTAGGGGATAGCAGCCCCCAAGTGAGCATGTTGAAGACATGGACCACACTCATCTATATCCACATTCTCTCTTAAATCAAAGATATACAATCACCATATATTCACACAATGTTTGTACTACGTATAAACATTAGAAAATACATTTCCCTGAGGTGACATTGCACGAGGTGGGAGACATTACCAAAGCAGGCCCCGGGCGGCGGCATGCTTCATTACACCAGTTAACAAACCTTCAGGTCAATGCTGCCCGTCAAAAGGCGAGTCAAATTAATCGTGAAGTGTGATGCTGCTCTGATACACGTACCATCATTATATGCAATTATTGCGAATCGTCCTAACATTTATTTCACATTTATTGATTTTGTCCTTTTATCTTTGATTATATATATATTTATATATATATTATTTATATATATATTTTTATATGTATAACTGCATGACTGAATGTCTTGTTGATTATTTTCTTGTTTAGTGCTTCTATCCCTCTGACTAGTGCTCTTGCATCTTGGCTTACCTGGAAGAGGATTTCTCCAAATGTCGTATTTCTTCGAGGTTAACTAAAAGGATAAAAATTACCTGTAGATTGTATTACACTTATTTTAAATTTACACATGTCGAACCTACAAGGTTCATTCTCAAGTGAGGAGACATAATAGATTGACAGATGACGATTAAGCCACCCAAGAGGTGGCACGGGCATGAGTA